ACATAATATGCTAGGTCCCATACTTTTGTGAGCAAACATACATCATGTCACACCACTCACAACAAACATATTTTAATCATCGAACATAATAGGTATGCAATAGGTTTCAACATATTTATTTTCATGGTCAACATATCATAATATCATACACCACACAATAACAAACATATTTAACCTTTTTTTAGAAAAACAAAAACATTTAAGTTTCAATAGGAAGGTCCCTTACTTGGGTCCTTTCTAATCATCCCTACAGATATTGGTCAACTCCGACCTAGATCGAGCCTACTAACACTAAAATTTAACCAACCCAACTTGACGTGATACAACTACTCTCACGAATTATAGAGTTTTATTGCTTACCTTCTTCCTACGTAGAGGTTGGGTCCACCCCAACTATCCAAAAAAAGAAACCATATTGAAACTTTGTTGGTTGACACATTGTACCTTGGTTACTATTAGGGACATTTAGAGGTGAATATTAAGAGTATAATCCATTTAAAATCGAGATTGGACTCAAAGAACAAGTCACATGAAAACTCACTATTTGCTCCTCTAAAGGGTTGCTTCGAAGATGGCGACAGTGTTCACTTGTGACAACAGTGTGGGTGACTGGCAGCGGTCCTCCGATGTGCGACAGCAACTAACGGTGGTGGCGTAGGACAATGTGGGCAATGGCAGCGCAGGTCGCCGTGAGCAATAGACGGCGACGACAATTTAAAGAAGAAGATGATAAAGAGGAAGGAAAAGGCAACGACTAGAGTTTGTGAGTGGCTCGCTAGTCTCGGGCTTCGTGCTCTGTGAGGTGAGCAGCTGGCTGAGTGATTGACTATATGTAGCTGAACCCTAGGGTTTATTTTTAATGTATTGAGCCTTGGGCCCATAACTTGGGCTTTACAATAGAACCTTGTACCATGAGCGGTTGTGTGTTCCAAATGATGATGAACTAAAGGTAAGATCTGATAAGAATTACGGTGTTCCAAATGTTCCAACTGAACCTATTACACGAACCAAGACCAAGAAGATTTAACAAGCCTTCATTCTTCATCTACAAAATTGGATAGGCTCGATTCAATCATCATTTCATGTGTTACAAGCTGATTCAATTGAAAAATGACCATTTGGAGCTTCAGAAGAACGGTTGAAGTAGCGGATGAAGTCGCAAGCATCATTTCATGAGTTGTTAGAAAACTTTAATTATTATTTTAATTTCATAAGGTTTGTAGTGGTCAATTTGACTTCGTCTTTGTGGAGATTTAAAGGGATCGGGATTAAATTCTGGCCACTAACTTCTTTATTTAATCTCGATCCCCAAAAGAAGTTAGTGACCATGATTTAATCTCGATCCCCTTAGATCACTACAAAAGACGAAGTCAATTTGACCATTACAAATTTTATGAAATTAAAATAATAATTAAAGTTTTCTAACCATTCATGAAATGATGTTTGCGGCTTCATCGGCTACTTCAATCGTGCAAATATTCACTTATGAGCTTCAAATGGTCTTTCCTCAATTAAATCAGCTTGTAACACATGAAATGATGGTTAAACCGAGCCTACCCAATTTTGTAAATGAAGAATGAATGTTTGTTGAATTTTCTTAGCCTTGGATCGTGTAATAGGTCTAGTTGGAACATTTGGAACACCGTGATTCTTTCAAGATCTTAATCAAGGCTCACTACTCGTCATTCGCCCTACATCTCGGCAGTACCAAGATGTATCAAGATTTGAAACGACATTATTGGTAGCGGAATATGAAATGTGATGTGGCCGACTTTGTGAGCAAGTGTCTAGTTTGCCAACAAGTCAAAGCTCCAAGGCAAAAACCAATGGGATTACATCGCCATGGACTTTATCGTGGGATTACCCAAGATGGCCAGAGGGTACAGTCATATGGGTCGTGATTGATAAGTTCGCAAAGTCAGCATACTTTCCGTCAGGAAAGTCCACCTATTCGGTGGATAAATGGACTTAATTGTACTTAAGGAGGTGATAAGATTGCATGGAGTACTCGTATCCATTGTGTCAGACAGGAATCCTCGTTTTACAGGAAAATCCTTCAGCAAGCATTGGGCGAATAGAGTTTAGCACAACGTTTCACCCACAGAGGGATGGGCAAACTGAACGCTTAAGCCAAATTCTAGAGGACATGCTACAGGCATGTATGCTAGACGTTGCCGGTAGCCGAGACACGCACTTAGTTCTTGGACCCAGACATAGTGCAAGCAACTAATGAGGCTATTCAGAAGATAAGGACTAGAATGTGTTCGGCTCAAAGCAGACAAAAGAGTTATGCCAATGTGAGATGAAGGGATTTGGAGTTCGAGGTGGGGACAAAGTATTTCTTAAGGTGGCCCCATGAAGGGCATTCTTAGGTTTGAGAGCAAAAGGAAGTTAAGCCCACGGTTCATTGGATCATTTGAGATCTTGGACGAGTGGGACAAGTAGCTTACTGATTGGTCCTACCAACTGTGCTTTCAGGAGTCCACAATGTATTTCATGTATCGATGTTACGACTATATATAGCAGACTCATCACATGTGATGGATTTCAAACCCTTACAATTGGATAAAGGTTTGAACTATGAGAAAGAATTCGTGTAAATTGTGACTAGAGAAGGGAAGACCTTATGTAGTCGAGAGATCGCGTTTGTCAAGGTATTATAGCAGAATCATCAGCTTGAAGAAGCCACTTGAGAACGAGAAGAGAAAATGATGACTAAGTACCTTGAGCTTTTTCAAGCAGGATGTAGCACACACCTTATGCATTTAAGTGAAGCTCTCGAGGACAAAAGTCTCTTTTTAGGGGAGTATTGTAAAGCCCAAGTTCTAGGCCCAAGGCCCAATACATTAAAAATAAACCCTAGGGTTTAGCTACGTATAGCCAAACCCACAGGCCCACCTCACAAAGCATGAAGCCAGAGATGAGTCAACCACTCACCTTTCCTTCCTTTTTATCATCATTTTCTTCTTTAAACTTTAGTCGTCATTCAGCGCTCACGTTGTCCCACCCCGCCACTGCACGTTGAACGACCACCACCAATCCCCGTCGCACATCAAATAACCATTGCCACTCACCCACATTGCCATTGCGAGTTGAACACTGCCGCAGTCGCCAAAACCACCATTTAAAGGAGAAAACGGGGAATTTTCATGTGACTTGTTCTTTAAGTCCAATCTCCATTTTGAATGAACCAACCCTTAATGTTTACCTCTAAATGTCCATATAGTAACCAAGGTACAACATACCAACCAACGAAATTACAACGTGATTTCTTTTCTAGATAGTTGGTGTTGGACCCAACCAATAACTAAAGTACAACATACCAACTAACGAAATTACAACGTGGTTTCTTTTTTGAATAGTTGATGTCGGACCCAACCTCTACGTAGGAAGAAGGAAAGCCATAAAACCCTATGATTTGTGAGAGTTGTTGTATCATGTCAAGTTGGGTTGGTTAAACTTAGGTGTTTAAATGTAGGCTTGATCTAAGTCAGAGTTAGACCAATATTTGTAGGGACAATTAGAGAACTCTCTAGGGGAGAGACCCTCCTATTGAACCTAAATGTTTTGTTTTTCTAAAAAAGATGGTTGAATATGTTTGCTATTGTATGGTTGCATGTTGTATAATATGATGTATGTTAACCATGAAAAAAAAATATGTTGAGACCTATTGCATGCATATTATGTTCGATGATTGAAATATATTTGGTGTGATTGGTGTGACAAGATGTATGTTTGCTCACGAAAATAAATGTTTTGGGATCTAAAGCATGCATATTATGTAGGTTAGACGCGGTGTGTATCGAGTAATAGCAATTAATGATCACTCTGTGAGGTGATTGAAGAAAATGGTCATCAAGGTAGGGTTACACGGTGTGAATTGAGTAACCAGCCATTGATAATCATTTTAAGGAGTAAGGAAGGATGTTGATTTTCATGTGGTAAAGTTTACACGCTATGTGAATCAAGTAACTAGCCACTAATTGTCACTTTGCAAAGTGACCACAGAAAATGGTTATCAAGTTAGGAACTAACACTTTTGGTTTTAAATTTTTATGTTGTTGAATAGTTTATTTAGATGGCATGTCTTTTAAATTTTCATTAAAGGTTGCCCCAAATGATTTTAATAAATTTCTTCCTTGGCATATTTTTTATTTATTTTAAAACGGTACAGTCACTTTTTTTGGTAAGAAAAGTCAGAAGCAGTGTGTCAAGGAGGACGTTGAGCCTTGAATGGGGTGGATACCGGGTGATGTGCCAGCAAGAATGTTTGGCCCAAAAAGGTGGTGGATTGTGAGATCTCATATAGATTGGAGAGATGAACGAGTACCAAGGAGGAGGTTGGGTCCCAAATGGGGTGGATTTTGGGATCCCACATAGATTAGAGAGGGGAAGGAGTGCCAGTAAGAACACTGTGCCTCAAAGGGGGTGGTAGATTGTGAGATCTCACATCAATTAGAGGAAACTAAATCTCTCCCTAGCCGGGATATTTTAAAAACTTTAAAGGGAAGTCCAAAAAAAAAACTTAAAGATAATATTTGTTGGCGGTCAGCTTAGACTATTACTTAGAATTTTATTTTACAACTAATAATGAATAATGGTGCACTCAAATCTCGAGAAAACATCCAAATCAAGAATACAAGTATAAGCTCGACCCTCGGTACTTTAATATCTAAGATAATAACACGCAGAGACGAAACTGGTAACAGTGGCATCATCAAGACGCTACAGCAACACCCTGTTTGAGGCCCCCCATAGATCTTCAGACACATAAAGAACAGAGTTTTCCCAATGGCAGTCTATAACTAATGAACAAAAAATTGAAGCTATAATAATATCATCTAGGTACTATACGCATCTTCAGAGCCTCAGAGCATCTATTTGATTTTTCCTTAAAAGCAGTCTTAGTTGAGGATTTCAGCTGGTTGTTCTACGAGTTATGACTAATTATGTTTTCGATCCCGATTCGTAGCTAGTTCTCATCCTCATCAGATAGAGAATGCCTTTCGAAACGAACCGACTTTTTTCATTCATTATGAGAACTATTGCAGGGCTTCAGTTCACACTGATATGAAGATAATGCTATAAATGTATGGATGATATGCATTTTTCCAAGTACATAAGCTAGAGAATTGGAATTTTGCATACTTAGCTTTCGAGCCGGAGTTGAAGACGGCCGAGTGCTGACTTTCACGTTGCGATACTCCCATAAAGCACTCCGTTTACTGTAGAGTTCCATTTATTAGATCTTGATAGCCAAAACAACCAGTAGAGAAGAATTGAATAGTACATAGGGAACAGCCTGACTGAATAAGCTGATGCCAGATTCTGGGCAGCCTATCTAAGAATTAAACACGGTCGATCGAGCTAGAAGAAAGAGAAAAGAAAACGCGTCGTCCAGAATAACCATCAAAATATCATCATCAGTAGTTAAGGAATTTAAAGAGTATAGGATGATCAAAAACCAGGACAAGCACCAAAAAACAGGAATTGAGCATCTCAATCCTAAACATAGGACTAATATTCAGCCATATACTTCCAGAAATGCACCATTGAAAACTATAGCATGTAATTGTCCTGATCGACCTCTCGCTAACTAGAGACGCAAGAAAAATGAGAAGGGATCCAGTAAAGCGTATGAGAGAACCTGTTATAATGTTGGAGGCATGGTAAGCCGTGAAGAAAGCTTTTATCTCATCCTGCTTCAATCTTTGCTGAGATGCAACAAGTTAAAAGGTATTAAAAATGGGGGCATGTCAATATGCACCACCACAAACTTTCAGTACGGTCATCATCCAATCCTTGGAAAGGAGACCATCTTTATCCCCTTGAGAAGAAATGTAATCGCCCGAGTCCACCGTTAACAGCTATTGTCCTCTTTGAGCTTTCCCTTCTGAGCTTCCCTCAAGGTTTTAAAACGCATTTTCCAGGGAGAGGTTTCCACACCCTTATAAAGAAGGTTTTGTTCCCCTCTCCAACTGATGTGAGATCTCACAATCCACCTCCTTGGGAACCAGCGTCCTCGCTGGCACACCGCCCGGTTTCTGGCTCTTATACCATCTGTAAGAGCCCAAGTCCACCGCTAGCAAATACTGTCCTCTTTGGGCTTGTGAGATCCCACATCCCTCTCCAACGGATGTGGGATCTCACAATCCACCCCCCTTAAGGGCCCAGCGTCATCGCTGGCACACAATCCGGTGTCTGGCTCTGATACCATCTATAACAACCCAAGCCCACCGTTAGCAGATATTATCCTATTTGGGTTTTCCCTTTTAGGCTTCCCCACAAGGTTTTAAAACATAGATGCTAGAGAGAGGTTTCCACACCCTTATAAGGAATGTTTCGTTCCCCTCTCCAACCGACGTGGGATCTCACAAGAAAGAGATCGCACCTAGAACAAAGCGGTTCACCTCTTCGTCATGAAGAGAGAGAGGAACTTTTCTTCCAAAATAGAAAGATTAGAGAGCAAACCAAGAAGAGAAGAGAAAAGGAGAAACTGAGAAAAGTGGAGCAGTGGGTTAGTAGGCAAGCATATTTGGTCACCCTCTTGAAAGATAAGAGACTAACAAAGGGCAAAACGATCATCAAGTAGGTTGAAATGTGCAAGTTCTCACCCACTCAATGTTACTCTTCTTTATCCATTACATCTCAAAGCAACAATCCCAAATAAATTGGACAGAAGAGACTAACAAGGCATTATCATCTCCATAGAACCAAAAGACAAGACAATTTCATTAACACAGATGCTGAGGATTCAAGATACAATGATATCCAGATAAGTTCACAACTTGCAGAAATATAATATATACACAAGGAACAGGGAACAACGACAAGATCGATAAGAACTTTATATACACGATAACATCACGAAGAATCAATAAACTAACATGAACATAAAAATCAATGCATAAAATACGACCACTGGATGCTACCAGTTGTCTCTAACAATTTTTGACTTTTCAAGAATGAACTTCCCTTCTTTATACTTCTGCGACGCCTCATACGCCCTCTCGTATTTCCACCCGAGCACCTCACGACAGTCGACACAATGCACATCAGCAACAGTGTGGAGACCCGTCATGAGATGTCGATCTTCTTTCGGTCCCACTGTGATGTTCATAGCATGAGAGAACAGAAAAGCACGCCCATGTCTTCCCTATGGAGAAAATTCAACACAAAACAGTATTGGATAATGAAAAAGTCAAGGGCAAAGTTTCAGAAATGCATTTGAAATCTTCAAGGTCATAAGAACCTAAACTTCTAATTGGGGTTTGGGCGATTAGCAAACCCTTTTGAATTGATGATCAAACACACACTAATAAGACTAAACCAATCAATAAAAGGCTTAGGTTTCAATATCATCACCTGAAAAGCTTTAGAAATAATATCATCGTGCAACGCAACATGGTTTCTACAATTACAGCAGCTGTATAAACGAGGCCCCAACAGTTCAGCCATTGATCAAACAGATAAAAGCCCTAAACGCTTCTCCTCCTAAACAACCATCAAAGCAAAAGCTTAAAAGAGATTCAAGGCTTCCATCAAGAAACCATGAGATGGATCATCAAAAGCTCAATAAAGAGTGTTTTTACCTACGATGAATTCAATGGTGACCCAGAAATCTGCAGAAAAAGACGAGCAATCAAAAAGGGGTTAGCGTTCAAATAAACAAATAACATAATGAATCAGAGACAGGGTGAAGATTTCAACAAATAAGACGGAAAAGAAAAGGGAAAAAGTAATAGAGAAATAGATGTAGTGAGCGACTGAGCGGGACAGGATTATGAGGGGTAAAGAACAAGAACACCAATAATGGTGTGAAAGGATCGTACCCAAAAGGCAAGACGTGGAAATCCAATGAATCAAAGAAAAAGGAGAGAAGGAAGAACCTTAGGCCTTAGGGTAAGGCGATGAATTAAGAGTAGATGTACATTTTTTTTAGTCTCTCGAGTGAGTTTAGCTCAAGTTCTTAACAATTTAGTGCTAAAATTTTGGATTTGATTTTTATTTTTTCAAAAAAATATTCTCTCATATCTTCTTTTGTTCGCTCATGATCATCATCGCCATCATCATAGTTCATTGCTTCTTTTCTTCTTCTTCTCTTTTTCTTTTCATTTTTTCTCCGTGTTAAAAAGTTCAAATTAAAACGATGAGAAAATACCCTTTATTTCACTGTTGCTAACTTCATCTAAATCTCTTTGGGCTACGCTTTTTTTTTTTTTTGGCGAGAAAATACCCTTCATTTGAACTTCATTTATTTCACAGTTGCTAACTTCATCTAGATCTCTTTGGGCTACGTTTTAATTTGAACTTTTTTAAATACCCTTCATGTGATTGACTATAATAATGGTCTAAATTACTTCAGACTTTTGAAGGTTTAAGTTGGTGTCGATTACAACGTTATATTGATGTTCATTTGACGTTATGTGAAGACTCATCCCGATCGAGGTAGGGAATCTCTATTTACACGGAAAATGGAAGAAAAGAGTGAGGAGTGATTTCTCCTAACATAATAGGTTTGTAGTGAGATGTTTTATTTTTTTTTTTAATTTAAATTATATTAAAAAATAAAATAAAAAATATTTGAAGTATATAATATTTAAATTTGGATTTGTTTTTATCTCAACAAAAATAGAGGGAGAAATGAAGATGATGGTTTCGTGGAAAGGAGACAAGTAGATAGTGGGAGAGAGATTTTTCTTCATTTTCATTATTTATTTATTTATTTATTTATTCATTCTTAAACCGGAAATTAAGATCACATTAAATTATTTAATAAAAAATTAAATATTGAGGGTGATTTAGTGGATGGGATAAGGCTTAGGAGGAGTGATCGACAAGGAAGCAAAATCAACCCATCCAATTCAGTTTTTATTCTTATTAGGTTAAATTATTAAATAATATTATTAATTTAATTATACCAAATTTTTAAAAGTTTCGTAAGGTTTTTTCAAAACAATTTTTTTTTTTTTTTGAAACTAATTCTAATATTATTTTGTATAACTAATTTTATTTTTATTATCCGAATTAAGTGATTATTATTTATATTATTTAGTGAAGGAATAATGACTAGATAAGTTGAATTATTAGTAATTTTCTTTAGGTTCATTTTAATTCATAAACCCTAATAAAAAAAAAAAAGAAAAGGAGAAGAACTTTTTCTCCCCACTTAACTGCTTCACCTTTTTAATAATTTTCTTCAATATTTTATACCTAACTTATCTTCTTTTTGCCATTTATTATTTTACCAATTAAAGAAATGCCAATTTCAAACATTTATAGCAATACTTAAGGGCTAAATTTATACATTTATTTTACTACTTTTTAACACTATTGAATTTCATCGTCTATCTTTCTAAAACTATATTTTAGCTTTCTTGATTGAAAACGCCTTTAGTTTGAAATCAAAATTGATTTATTTTTATAGCTTGTTCTAAACAAATCAACCATAAATGTCATTATAAAAACAGTATTTGGAACATCATAAAAATACATATAATTTTATCTAACAAAATATAATTTTGAAGATTTTAGAGATCATTAAGTTAAAAAAAATATATATATTTTTTTAGTACTTGAATAATGTGAGCTCATTTGAGCTCTAATTAATTTAAAAAATAGTCAAACTAGCTGGAACTAACTGACATGTATTATTTCTTTTGAAGTCCAACGTTCAAATAATAATAAAAAATAGCGAAAAGAACCCAAGCTCAAAGGGTGAAACTAATAAAATAAAAAAATTTAAAAAAAAACTCGTTGAATAAACAGAAGCAGCCAACACCATAATCAAACCAGTGTGAATAATTAGGTTAAGAGAGAAAAAAATGATGACACTAATTAGGCAAAGAATGCATAACGAAAACTTGGAATCTTTGATGAACAAGTACAGATAAATCCAGGGTTGATGAACTCGGAAAATTCTCCACAACAATGGCTGAGGAGATCCCTAAACAACCTACTACTTAAATGACTTATGAAGAAACCAAAAAAAAATTGATGAAAACAGAAATTGTAAACTAAGCCTTTACCTGTTCTTTCAATTTGTTTCCTCGGATGAGCAGACCACTATTCGTGTACTGTTTCATTCTTCAAATATTGTACCAGCAGCTACTCAAGAAGGAAGCTGCTGCTGCTGCTGTATACAGATGAATTCAAGGGTTCATGTCCTGACCTCCCAATAAGTACCGGTGGTCCGTCCTTCTCGACATCACTTAGATGTTTAAAGGATCGGTCTCAGTATTCTTTACGTTTATTCCCCATTCAACACTCTCTGTAACACGATCAGGCCAATAGAATTAAGTGTCAGTTTAATTCATGATATGTTTCAAACAAAATGGGTATGTGTGTGTGTTTTTCTACTCTCTTTTGGGTCATGAAGTGTGAGATCTCACATTGGTTGGGGAGGAGAACAAAACACCCTTTATAAAGGTGTGGAAACCTCTCCCTAGGCATTTTAAAAACCTTGAGAGGAAGTTCGAAAGGGAAAGCACATAAAGGACAATATCTACTAGCAGTGGGACCGTTTCATTAGGTGTCTGGATAAGAAAACGCTTAAAAATACTTTTGAAAACATGGAAGCAAATATTAAAATCATTTGCTATAAGAACACCTTTGACGACGTGTTTATGTTTAATGTAATTTAGCTAATACGATTTAAAAAGGGCTCTCAAAATACAACTTTACTAAGTGGGGAAGTATAGTTGGATTATTTATCAACAGAAACTGAATCTAACAAATCATTAGCAATGCAAAAATCTTAGCATTTGAACAATATACTTACTTGGTTTCTCAGCAATTGTCTGAAGCCGCCTCTGTAAAATCGATGCCACAAAGAGGAAAATGGAGCACATGCCAAACATCACAGTGATGGGGAAAGCATCCACCTTCAAATACACAAAAAGAATAATAACAAAGGTAAGTGACAATAAAAAAGAAGTGGGTGTTCATA